ATTGAAAGTCTGACATTTCTTTCCTTCTCCAATGCCCTAACCAGTTGGTATGCATTGTCGAAGTCTTCAGGTTTTTTGTACCTTAAACCGCGTTAGTCGACTTGGGGTGTGCTCTGCCTCTTCTTCAGAGTCAGTTTCCACCCTTCGTCGCTTCACGCCTCCCCTTTGCAGGGGTTTAAGGCCTTTAGAAGTGGGGGCAGCTAGTTTGGCTGGTTCAGCTAGAGACCCTTCTTGACTGAGGGAGTTCTGAGGAGAGTTCAGGTTTCTCTCAGTCTGGTGTGCATGGACAGACTTTGTGGATGGTGTTTCTGTCTTGTCCTTGCTCGGTTCAGCAGGCCGGACACGTTCGGCCTGCTTTTGGTTTTTCTTTAGCCCCCCTGCAGCCTTGAAAGGCTCCAGGGTGACTGCCATGTCATGCCATGCCATCATTTTGTGGTCATGGAGAGAGTATAAAACAGATTGGTTCCCTTTCAGGGACTATCCTTATACCTGCTCTCAGGGTGAGGTCTTATGAAGGGCCTCAAAAAAGCTCTGTTCCCTACACTCGACCCTTCAGCACCACAGGACAGGAGATCCCCCTGGGTGGGCTGAACTCGGAGTTTTGGTGTGGTAAACGCTCTGTACCCCAATCCTGCTACAAGGGGGGTGTGATCACGTCATCGCAGCCCAGGCAAATGTTGGAAATCGGCGTTTCCCGCAGGCCCAGGCTGCACCAGGAAGTCAGAAGGAGAGGTCAAAAGGGTTAGGCACCGAAAAGTCGCCCTTGGTGCGTGGCCACAAACTATGTCCAGGACCAGAAGGTCCAGACCAGGTTTGTAACCTCGCTCTCCAAGGGAGCGGTAGTGGGGCACTTACTACAAGAGTAGGCCTGGCCAATTGTCGCGGCGAACCACGATAAATTGGCGGAGCTCTCTGTGTAGTCTGTTGTCAAAAAGTATTAGTCAAGCTCAAGTCTGATGGCTTTTGCACAGGAGGATCACGCCAAGTGGGTGACAATAATGCCTCGCCAGTTGGGTGATCTCTCTCTGTACACCACAGGGGAGAGGACCTGTGTAGTGTGTACACAACAGGGGAGAGGACCTGTTGATGTGTGCTACATGAGGTACATAGAGGAGTATATATACAATTACTGGGTGATCAGGTCACGTCGGTAATCAGGTGAGCGACGACCTCGGCTAATTCGTGGCTCCCCGTAGCGGTGTTGATGTTGTTAGTTGTATGAATGAACGCCGCTTCTACCATCTTCCTTTGTCGTGGGGCCAGGCCTTGCTTTATGATGGAGGCCTGGGACCACTTCGGGAGGTAACCATCGGTGTCTGCGTGAACAACGAAGGCGCTTCTCGTGTCATGGCGTCGGAGAGCGCTGCGGTGTTGGCTGATTCGTTGTTCGTGCAGTCCTCGTGATGTCTCGCCTATGTATACCTTATCACAGCCCCCACAAGGTATGCTGTACACCTGGCTGAGGGGTCTGTTATGGTTTGACCTCTTTTCTCTCACGATGTCTCCGATCTTCTTGCCTGAAGACGTAGCTATCTTGAGAGTACGGCCCACCAGGGCCTGCAGGTGCTCAGTCAATTCCGAGTGGGGGATGATTATCCTCTGAGTTCTACTCTGTGTGTCCTCACTTCTCGGCCTACTCATGATCATCTCGGCCTTGCGTCAGAGGTAGGTGAGCATAGAGCGGGGATAGTGGAGGTGTTGGAAAGTGTTGCAGACGTGTTTCATCTCATCCTCCAAGAACTCAGGGCTACATATTCTGAGGGCTCGGAGGAAGAAACCAATGACCACGCCTTCTTTGGTTCTCTTACTATGGGCAAAAAAATAGTGAATGAAATCATCTTTATTTGTGGGTTTTCTGTATACTGAAAATACCGGTCCATTTGGTCTCCTGTGGATCATGGTGTCCAGGACAGGGAGTTGCTCATCCCTCTCTTCTTCTGTGGTGAACTGGATGGAGGGATGCCCTGCATTGAGTTTATGGAGGAGATCGGGCAGGTTCGTCCTGGTTGGTACTACAACGAGGATGTCGTCCACGTAGCGGAGCCAGACCACGTTTCTTCCCACGATGTTACGGTAATTGTCGGCCTCGAGGGTTTCCATGAACAACTGGGCAAGGACTGCTGAAAGTGATGAACCCATCGCAAGTCCCTGGATCTGTTCGTATTCGCGTCCTTGTTTTCTTGGCCTTCCCTTCGTTGTTCCAGTTGCAATCTGTTCACCATGAATTACACACACACACACACACACACACACACACACACACACACACACACACACACACACCACACACACACACACACACAACACCAAACACACACACACACACACACACACACACACACACACACACACACCACACACACACACACACACACACACACACACACACACACACACACACACACACACACACCAAACACACACACACACACACACACACACACACACACACACACACACACACACACACACACACACACAACACACACATACATATATATACATATATATATATATATATATATATATATATATATATATATATATATATATATGATAGATAGATATCTTAATAGATATATACATATATATATATATACATATATATATATATATATATATATATATATATATATATATATATATATATATATATATGTATATATGTGTGTGTGTGTGTGTGTGTGTGTGTGTGTGTGTGTGTGTGTGTGTGTGTGTGTGTGTGTGTGTGTGTGTGTGTGTGTGTGTTGGTATATATATATATATATATATATATATATATAATATATATATATATATATATATATATATATATATATATATATATATATATATATATACATATATTTATAGATAGATAGATAGATAGATAGACAGAAATAGATATATACATGTATATGTATCTATTTATATGAACTTTAGATCTGTAAAAAAGGTTTGAATTAGAATGAATATCTTCACAATACAGTTGATATATTTAACCAGTTGCGAATATATCTTCGTCAGAAATTCATACATCAGGGAAACGACAGAGCATACAGGTATCAGGTGCCAGCTGACGAACTGCCTGACTACCTGACCTGCCACCCTGTTAGCCTCATAATTGGTACCGCGACCTTTGCCATTTGAACTTGATCGATGCAGTATTTACATTTTTTCCACCGTGATGTATATTTTTGTCTTTTCTATTGGTTCATTTGCTCTTGGATTTCTAATGCTTCCTTCCAGTTCGTTAGATATCATTATATTTCCTATAAAATAATCTTATTTGCAGGCAGTTGTCTTAGGCTGCCCCTACTGAAAGGACGCTGATATAGTGGGAGCAAAGACCTTGATGAAAATAGTTAATGGTTGAAACAAATTCATGTGCTTGACATCTCAAGTCATGTAGCATGGATGGATATCAGCAAATACTTTGAATGTAGAGGGAATGGGAATAGAGGGATTAGAAAATGTTTTGGGGTCATGTGAAGGAATTTTGGACGTCTGCAAGAGTTTCTGGAGAGAAGTCTGGTGGAGGTCTGAGAAACAAAGGTTCTTTTTTGAGGATATAAGCTTCATGAGGGAGGTCATATCTACGGAAGCTACTCTTGGCAATATTGGTTTAAGATTTACGCTGTCCTCTGGGTGGAATAGTGTAGCACTGTAGTGCCTCTGCATCATAGCCAACAAGGTAGGCATATTGTCATTTTCACAGTCTGACCAGTTTTTGTCGTAGTCGGAGAGATGGACAGTTCCGGTACAAGGATTAAGAGAAGAGAGGTTGGGCAGGAATAGGCTTGCCAGCGAGGTCAGTCAGGGTAGATAGTACACGAGCTTGGGACTTACAGACTCACAAGGCGTGAACGATCAGACCGACTGCGAAAGGGAACTCTGCCTACTTGTGTTTGGAAACTGTTGGAAAAGAAGGGTATTGTCTGAGTAAGGGGGATCACACAGAATCAATCCTACTTGGCTGGGCCAAAGAGAGTACTCGAAAAGTTTGCAAAGGTGGAAGCAGCAGCAGGACAATGGGGGGAGGGGGTAGACAATGAAGAAGCTAAAGATTTATGACCTGGGTAGGTGGTACGGAATGGATAGAGTTGCCAGTAGACATCGAGGAGGGGTTATTAGTATTAGTGGTCGGAACCGTGGTCGAAGGAGAGGCGGAGATCGGAAAATAATGGAATTAAAATTAGATTGACTATTTGATGAAGGGGCACGCCTTAATACCCCTATTAAGGATAAAACATCTTCATTATTGGCCATGGTGAACCTGAACTGAGTGGGGAAAAGAACAGTCTACCCTTTAGGGTCACCATAAGGGGTAAGGGGTAGGCAATAAACCAAGAGAATACCTTCCCCTTGGCTCCCGGAGACCGTTCATGACTTGACACACAGCCAGTTTCATCCTTTCGGCACGGCTCTCACATCTTAGGAAATGGACTCAAGGAGATGAAGCAGAGAAGGAAAAGGGAGAAGAAAAGACCTTGCTGCGGCCCAAGGTTGGAGGAATTTCCTACTTTGGATCTGTCTCCGTCTCCATAATTTTTTCACTAAAACTTATCAGAATTCAAGTGTTTTGAAGATTTGGGTTTTAAATGTTTCGTAAATTGAATATCTCAAGGGGGAGGGGAAATCAGTTACACTTTCTAGCAAATTGCAACCTAAACAGTATAATTATAAAATGTATTATCCCTTATATCTATGTATATATAATTTCAGTTCATTAATCTATTTGATTTTCACCTTACAGAGTAAAGGTTATTTTGTCATAAATCAGTAAAACAAATAAATGAAAATATTTTATTTGATAACTTACATATATTTCAATCATGTGAAATCTGGCATCAAATAATATTATGATCTACTACTCTAATAAAAATGAATAAGAATTAAATAACACAAATGATAACAAACATTTTCACCTTGTGACAGAGGACTAAGTATGAGGATATCATTATAAACAAATGGAAGATACTTTTACAAATAACAGTTTCATTAAATAAAAAGACTATCAATAAAAGTTTTTATATATGCCTCAAGAGACAGAATCTTCTTTATTCATATAGAAATATACAAAAACTATCAATTCCATGAATTTTAAGTAAAACAATCTGATGTTAACAGCAATCCCTTCAGAGAGCACCAACACGATCACGTGGAATCAAACGAAGTTCAGAGCCATGTTTCATAAATACACTTCCTGTAAAAAGAAACGGACATCATTATCAGCAGCAATGCTAGCAATGACTGACTGTGGTAATAATTAGTGTACATGTAACAATGGTAACCAACTAGGGAAGGTGTGCTTTGCAATGATGATTACACTGCATCAAAGGTAATCAAATATTACTTTCTTTACAAACCATTCAGTCAAGTCAAACTAGTTCCAAAAACAAATGGAATAAGAACAAAACTAAGTTATTGGTACAGTAAAATACTGCAACAATAAAGTTAACCATTCTTACTTGTAACATCTGATGTACACTAAATTACTAAAAAAAAATGAGATTTGTACCTGCATCCTGACTTGGGTTAATTCCAATGCCATCATCTGTGATGATAGCAGAGGTTGAGGGCTCGACCTTAAACTCTTCTGCTGCAAATTTCAGCACAGCAGTGAAGGGAGTTTGCTCCGGCACACTCAGCCTGGAAGCAAAAACAAAGATGGCCATAATATGAGATGGATATTGATTGGTCAATTGTTACTTTAACATGTGTAGCTCATTCATACATAATCAGACTAAGAATTACAGGATTTGGTCAATCGTTACTGTAACACATGTAGCTCATCCATACAAATTCAAAAAAATATCAATATCCTGAAATTAGATTGTAAGAATAATCATAGAATTGCTAAAAAGCAAACTGAAAAAATGGAATTTAACAAAATTTATCTTCTTCAAAGTCAGTTTACCATTTTATGCATTCTCTTCATATTATTATGCTAAATCTACTTAAAAACACTTTCAAATACTGAAAAAGGACTATATGCCAATATTTTTTGCAGAACTTTGTAGATTACTGGAAAATACTACTTCAAACATTTAATAATAAATTCTATTACTAAAAACTCCTCTCCCATGCTGTCTGTCCCTTTGCTTTTTCATTTTTTGTCTAGTTCTTAGTAAAGATTTCAAGTCCTCATTTTAAGTAATAGTCCACTTATTTCTTTAACTTCTTGACATTTCAATACAAAGCAATGTGAATCAACATAATTTTGTAAATACTAAATGCCAAGAAAATACAAATTGCTCAAAGCATGTGGAACATGATCATCTTTGAAATAATCAGTAATTCAATAAACAATCCAAAGCTTCCCAACAGCATCTACTTTTTAAATGCTTTTGCTAACTTTATTTGAAGTACTTATTAAATATCACAAAGAAAATAGGTGCATTACCAAAGTATTAACATGTAGCATTTGTTAATTTCTAGTATTCTTGGCTTACCTACCTATCTCAGTGAATGGGGAAACTTCATAGATGTATTTCGTTAATCAAAAAATCAGTTTCTCTCACACAGCCTTACAAAATTTGTATTACATGATTATAGACACCTCATTCAGAAGTCTCTTCACGAACATGATTACTATTGCAAGTAAAGAATGTTGAAGACGACCCACAGAAGGATATTCATAAAAGATTTCTATAATTAACCTTAACACCTTAAATGTTAAAATGCCAAAAAAATAACAAGTACAGAATAAGAAAGAAATGCCAACTGCTGAATCTGAATAAAGAAGGCTAATTTTTTATAGAAAAAAAAAAAAAGCAAAGCAAAGTTCCTAGAAATCATTATATATGTTGATATTTCAAGCTTATTCATCCCTTGGATGAATAAACATGAAATTAAATCATGTGATTTGTATATCATATATGAAAACCATTCCAAATTTCTTTGAAGTCAAAAAGGTTTCCTATGTTTAAAAGGTGTAAAAAAAATAACCAAACTCACTCTTCATCTCCTCCTATTTTATAAAAGGTACAGTAATTCATTGTATGAAATCATACATACTTTATAATACAATTTTTTCATTTGATAACATAATTACAAATTGGCTTTCATGTAATATCATCCTGATGTATCCATCACTATGGTAAAGAGGCTTTTATTCCTTTAACACATGCTGACACTTGTCTAAACAGATGTGCTTTATCCGACACAATGCAAAAGCTATCACTATTGATTGTGAATCTCTCAAATCAAATAAGACAGGAATGTTTACCTCATGTGATGTACCAATTCTTCCAGATGTTTTTCCCCATTTTTTTACCAGTCATGGAAAAGCATCTCTTCTATTAACAGTAATTTTCACTTCACTCAATACATCATTCCAGATTGCCCCATCCTCCTGTGCACACCACTCAGATATTATTTTGTCTGTAGATGCTGCAAGATATTTGTTGAAGTATATATTACTACAAACAGTCACTAAGTCTTTATATGTTAGAAAAGATGTTAAGTCTTGTGGTGACCAGGAGTACGCTGCAGGTTGCTCAACAAACACTAGCCTCTGTCCTTCTCTATGCAGTACTGCCAGAAATGCAATTAAAAGATTACGACTGCTCAACAGCAAATCACACAATCTTTCTGGTTGAAGGTTACACAAAGTCTGAACTATACATTTGTGTATAGGTGCCCTTGGGGATCGTAATGCTGAATCTAACCACTCAACAATCATTTTACCTGTTGAAACTTTTTTCACATCAAGCACTACATCTCCACACCTTATATCATCTAACAATATATTAAGGCCATCTGGAATTTTAACTAATGCAGAGAGGGTTTCATTTACTTGCTCTGAACTCAAGGTGTCCATCACTTCTATCACCAGTTTACTTTTGAGGTCTTTATGAAAGTTTTCATTCACGGTGTCATTGATATAAGCACTTATGTGCTTATAAGATTCCTGCTGCTGATTTACCTGCTCATAAATTCTAGCAACAGTAGCAGACCCCAGGGTCATTCTTGCAACCTGAGAGATGTGCTCCTGTACATTTCTTTCAAGTGCTTGATTATGAATAAGGCTTTTCAGTAAGTGATAGCGTGCATCCTGCAGTTGACTAAACGAGAAGGCCTCATTGGATTTCTTTGCCAAGTGGTTAAATGCAATCTGAAGACTACCATTCTGGTGGGACTGCCTTGCAATTTTCTCACAGTATGTACCCCATGAAAGAGCCTTGTCTACACCATCACAACTCCAATTACTCTGACTGTAAGCAGCTGGATACAATTCATGCATAAAATACAGCACATTTTGTAGTACTGATTTCCACATTCTTTCAAAATAAAATAATAAATTACAATAAATATCGTGGATACTATTTGCAAATTCTAAATCTCCTTGCTAATTAAATTTTTATTGTTGATAGTGCCATAACCTAAATTGCAATCCTTATGTCCTAACCAAACAAAAATGTTCATCTATCACCTATGGTCACTTAATACCAGATAACCCTTTTTCCATAGATGGCATGAGCACTTTGTTTCTTCTTTAACTGCAGATCTTATTCCTTGGTTGATTGGTATGCTCTCATTCCTAATCATCAGGCAAACTTCCCTAAGGCAACATTCAGGTCGCAGATCACCTGATGAGAAAAAAGTACGACTTAAAGGTCAAACTTTTTGAAAGTCTTAAATCAAAACACTTATATTAATAATGATCTCAGTAGTTCACTTAAATACCTATATTCATATCTTTATGTTGCCTTTAGCAAAAATGTGTTATTAATGCAATTGTCTGGCTGAACTATCCATACAATTGTCTATAGACAACTTCATATGCAACTTCTTGTTTAACCTTTCAGAGAGGTACCCCTTGAGATTTTCAGCTGTTAAAATCTGAACATGTAATGCTTAAAAAAATGGTCTTTTCAGATACAAGATGACTATCTTATAATCTTATTAAAGAGTTCACATGCAAAAGCTGAAGTTTATAAATTCAAACTGACTGACAAATTGGTAGCCCAATATTAATATGGTTCTATTCACAGAACACATATGACCCTAGCTAAAATACTTCAAGACAATTTTTCTGCTTTTTGTTAGTTACATTCTAATTATTTTCAATCTTTCAGACTGTTTGTATTCTTTAATCCAAGGAATATTCACTTGCCCTTTCCAAACTATTTCATTTATCTTCCCTTACTAATTTATTTCTATTTTCTTTTTAATGTTATTTTTCTTGTAAATGAAGATATACATTAGCTGTAATCTGAATAGCCCTTAAGCCTTTGGTACTGGGGATATGTACTTTCCACTGTGGTTTTGTTTTATCAATTTTATTTTCATACAGAGGATTTCACAGGAACTTTGTCACCAAGGCATCAGATTACTGAGGCTTCTTCATTTCACCTGTTTCCTCTTCTGATTTACCTTTAGTGAAAAGGTTTTTATTTATTATTATTATAATTGCTATTACTATTCTTTTTATTATTATTATTATCAAACTATTATTTATAATAACAACAGTAATAAAAACAGACTTTTGTTCCTGAAAATACAGAGAATGAGGTAAACAAGTCGGATCTGGTAAGCCTAGTAAAGGACAAGTGACCTTGGCTGGTGGAGCTATGTGTAAATAAAATGGTCAAAACAAACCCAGTGCTAACTGATTAAGATTTTATCTAAAGCACCAGCTCTTGTTATTTTCAGCCATAATAGTGCCCTCAAAATCTTAGGCAGGTATCCCTGTAGAAGTTAAAAATACATTTACTCAGTGTTTGTTTGAAAGCTAAAATGAAAGCATAAAGTGTCTAAGTACCAGGGATTGTTTTGATGTCATTAATTTTACATGGCTCCATAAAATCACCTGCCAGATAAAGACTAAATTGCTGCAGAACATATCCGAATTTGGTATTTCTGATGGATTCTCAATGTTTATTTAAATACAATGCAAAAGAATGCTAGCTTTCTTTAACTATGTGGGATCTTCCCTTCATTCAGTTACCTACTCCTGATATCCTTGGGAAAATACAAAATATCTCAAAAGAAGATATGGACCACAAATTACATT